TAAGAGTTCACCAAATTATTTATAGATGTCTAACAAATATTATAAATAATATACATCATGTATTCAAATAGTTAAATTATGGTTAGTAAAATAAAGAAAGCAGATAAATTTTACTATAGAATTTTTCACAGTAATTCATAATAATTATAATAGTGTAATTGAATGAGAGAGTAGATATTGATTGTTGTTGATACTTCTTGGCCAGAGTGTTAGCAATATTATTAAATTGATTATTTGAGTATATTTAAACTTTGTATAGTATGAGCTAGATATTAAAAGCCTTAATAATATTAAAAAGTATATGCTAAATATGCTAGTAGTTAAATTTAAAGTATTTAGAAAATTTAGATAAGGTATACAGAAGTCTGTAGTACTTGGATATAATAGATTAGAAGTCTGTAAATATATTTACTTTGGCATTGTAGAGTAGTGTAGCAATAGCAGATAGAATTAATAGTAGCTTAGCTTTGTATAATAAGGGCTAGTTAGAAATCTTAGCAAAAAAGCTACTGTTAATTTGGTTGTAATTTGTTTGAACCCAACCTACTTCTATAGAGTAGTTGGTAGTGCTTATATTGGATACTAAGCAATTTATATAGAATGTGAATATTTATATATTGATATTTTTAAAAGTATGATGTACTAGTATTTGAAATACTTCATTGTTATAGAAAAGAGTTGAAGCTAGAGAGTCTATAATATTAATATTAGAAGAAGGTGTAATAAAAATAGAGTATTTGATTACTATAGAGTATAGAAGATCTAATTGGCATTAAGTTTGAGTTTTTTGTTAGTCATTTTTCTGTTCAAGAATTGTGTAAATATAGTAGTAGAAACTCCAAATATGCAGTAGCTAGTAAAGTAGTTGGAGTTAAGTTTGTAGTCAGAGTATAGGTTGTATGTAATAAGAGGTACTAGGTATAATAAGTAGTGTTTAGTATTTATATTGTGTTGCTAGTATATAATAGAAACTGTATTGGTTTTAGGGATGCAGGTTATACCTATACTATATTATACTACTGGTATTATACAAGTATTATACAAGATTATACATAGATAGCTAGGTATAATACTAATAATATTAATATAGCCAATCAAATTGCTAGATTTTTTTTTTTTTTATAAAAACATCTTGAATTCAACTTTGTTTCAAATTTGTATATTCTGTTACTTTTTAATTGGTTATCATTAAATTGATATCAATCTGTATAATAAATATTATAATCAAATATTAATTATCTATATATTAAATATAGTAATCAAACTTTATATTTGGGAATTTCAATTTATATTTGAGTTTTATCAGAAATTTTATTTTAATTATTATAAGTCTTAGTTATTATTATTTTGAAACCTACTATAAATTTTAATAAAACCTGTTTAAATAATTATATAAAAATAAAATTTATTTTGTAATGCAGGTTAAGCCAAATTTATTGCAAGTTTTATCTGTTATTAATTAGTATTTATATAAGATTATTAAATTGTATTATTAAAATATTCAAGTTGCAATAAATTACCAGTGTTAAAAAATAATTTAGCGTAATAAAAAAAAATAATTAATTAAATATTACTGCTATAATTATTGTTATTTTGAAATCTACTGTAAATTTTAGTAAAACTTGCTTAAATAATTATATAAAAATAAAGTTTATTTGTAATGCAGGTTAAGCCAAATTTATTGCAGGTTTCATCTATTATTATTAGTATTTATTTAAGATTGTTAAATTGTACGATTAAAATATTCAAATTACGATTAAAATATTCAAGTTGTGAAATAAAAAAATAATTAATTAAATATTACTGCTTTAAATATATCATATTAAAGTAATACTATGATAAAAAAGGATAAATTGCTTTTATAATTAATTGATAAAATTATAATGACAAGAATTGTAGTTTTATATAAATTAATAATTAACATTAGTAAGAAAAAATTAAAATATAAAACAAGTATAAATATTAATTATTATAATATAATTATTATAAATACTATTTTTATTTGCTTATAAAGTTTATTAGCTATTATCATTTTTTCTCAAATAAACTATTATTTTTTAAATTATTATTATTAATATGCTACAAAAAAGTAAAATTTGAAACTATTAGAAAATTTTACCAACTAAAGAATTAAATTAGCTTGATAGTTGTAGCGAAACATCAAGTAATGATGAAGATGGTACAGAAGAAGAATTTGTTTCTTCATCAACAAATTCTCAAGATTAAAAAGATACTAAAAAATTATATCCATCTGTACAATACAAATACTGTTCTAAAAAATTTAAGCGTAGACTTGCAACTTGTATGCAAAAGTATACTAATAGTTGTTTGAATGCTCCTAAATCAGCAAAAACTATTAAAAAACCAAAGTTGCAAGATTCAAAGTTAGCACAGCAAAGTATTATAAAAAGTTATATTGATCAAATAGATTATAATAAAATATCAAATTTAGATTATAAATTTGCTAAAGCAATTTATACTTTAGATATTTCACTTAGTATATTTAAAAATTCTTTTTGGATAGAATTTTTTTATACACTTTGACCATTATTTTACATTTCTAGTCAAGATAAATTATCAACAGGGCTTTTAGAAAATGTATATAAAGATATTAAAAATGATGTTAAATATAAAATAAATAATACTCAAAATCTTACTATGGTTTCTGATAGTTGGTCAAATATTAATCATGAAGCAGTTCAAAATTTTATTATTTATTTACCAAATCTAGTTTTTTATAATACTATATTTTCTAGAGAAGCTTGTTATATAGCAGAGTAGATTGCAACTCAAATTTTTACAAAAATAGAAGAAGTAGAAATTTATAAATTTTCATCTTAAGTATTGGGATCTTGCAGCCTAGTGGTCTAGGTATCTAACCTTTCATAAGTTTGTTTTGGGTTCAAGTCCTAGTAGCTGTGGATTCTACAAATACTTAAATATACTCATATATAAAAAATCCAAATAAGTATAGTTTGGATTAAGAATTTTCAAAAAAAGGTCTATTGTGAAGAGTTGGTACTATAGTATAACCTGTTAAAACTGATGTGCATAGTGGACCAAATTTGTATCAGTTTTGACAAGTTATCAGGTTTGAAGAGTAAAATTACTATATTTAATTAAGAGACAGTGGATCAATTTTTTATCAATTTTGACAAATTATCAGTTTTGACAGTATCAGTTTTGACAGGTTATACTGTATATATAATAGCAGTTGTTACAAAAGATTCTATAATACAATAGTTTTGTATATAAATTTTTAATTGGTATAGATAGCACTAATAACCTCTAAGGAGCAATAGGGATCTTGGTTAGGAGGATAACCAGGCGGTTACTATAATTAGAGTGGTAAGAAAAGTGGTAAAACACAAAAGAACCTGTGATAAAGAATTGGCTTTACCAAATTTAGAACACCTCTGGCACTGTATAAATTTTTCTAGCCAATAAGAGGTTGAAGCATGGAGATGTGTATATATAAATAGACCCAACAAGCAATGGTTATACCCATATAGGAGTTTTTAGATATTAAGAGAACTCAGGATCTACCAATATCAGAATAGCTAGTATAAATACATGCAGTAGTAACTAAACTGCCAAGAATCACTATAAATAAAAAATAATGATGCACCTGTTAAAAACCTCTAGGCCTCATAATACCACCCAACTATACTTGATACTAGAAGCATATATGAAACATGCTGAATTTCTTATTACTATATTGAGAAGTACAGTCACTAGCAAATCACCAAATTTATAATGTTAAGACCTAGGTCCCAAAGTTGCAGGAAATCTAGCTAGTTACGGCAGTATACAGTCTTGAGATACTTATCCAATTAGGTAAGGCAGCTACATGGCTTGAGATACGAACTTCTAGAATGTATACCAGTAGAGATTAAGAGAATTCTTTATCAGACACACCAAATCAGAAGCAAAAAGCACCTGCTTGGAGAAACACATACCAATTTAGAAATTAAGATAGTAAGTTATGTAGGTAATGTAGTGGATATATAAATACTAATTAGTAGTTAAAAAAGGAAATACAAAAACCAGATCAATTATATAAGTAAGAGTGTGACAGCTCTGGTGAGTTTTAGCTATAAATAAATAGTTTTTATACCTAAAGTTCTAGTCTCAATACTAATATATAATATGTATATATTTATAGCACTGCTATATGTCAATTTACTTAAGTATTAATAAAAGTTTGGGGCAAGTGCTACACCCAGGGTATTCTTCTAAATATTAAAAAAAAAAAATTTTTATCTATTATTACAGATACAGTAGCTAATATAAAAGCTGCTTGAAAAATAATTGAAGAAAGATATTCTCATATTATTTGTCTTAAATACTCTTCACATATTATTAACTTATTAATTAGTGATATTTTAAAAATTGATAAAATTAAAATAGTTCTAGAAAATGCTAAAACAGTTGTTAAATATTTTAAAAATTATTATATTTCAATAGCAAAATTATAATACATTCAAAAAAAAAATTATAGTAAAGAAATTGCTTTTGTTCTTCTTATAATTACAAGATAGAGTATATATCTTGATTGTATTAAATCTTTTATTGAATTACAAATAGTAATTCAACAAATGATTTATGATCAAAGTACATCATCATTAGAAGCACAAATTAAAATACAATTATATTCAGATAAATTTTGGAATAATTTTAAAATTATTATTAGAATTCTTAAACTAATAGTTGCTACCTTAAAAGTATTTAAAGCAAATAACTCAACAATTTTAACAACTTATTTATGATTTAATATGATCTTAACTGAAATACAAAAAATTGTTTGTAGTTATTTTGCAGAAATTCAACTAAAAATTCAAAATTGCTAGAATTATATTTACTATTTTATTATTACTATTGCATTTATATTAGATTCAAATTAACTTGAAGAGAGCAAAAAAAATGATAATAAATCTAATTGTTTATTAATATTTGCCAATTTTATTTCTTTAAAGTATCTCAATGAAGAAGTATCTAGAATGTATGCAGAATTATTAAATTTTTGTAACAAACAAATACTATATAATAATAAGTTAATTTGGAATTCAGCTACTTATCTTAACCCTTCAACTTGGTGGTCTTCTTGGCCTTCATCTGAGCTTCAAAAACTTGCAATTTGTATCTTGTTAATTCCAACTTCATCAAAATGTAAATATTCTAATTTTAGATATATTTATTCAAAAACTAGAAATTAGTTAAAAAATGAGTGGGTAAAAAATTAGTTTATATTTATAGTAATTTGAGAATGCATTATACAAAAAAAGAACACATTATTAAATATAATGAAAATGAAAATATTGGTATAGATCAAATAAAAAAGAAATTTAAACAAACCAACTAGAATTGCAGTTATACTGGTATAATAAAAATGCTGAGTATAATACTAGGTATTATACTGTATTATACTATATAGTATAATATAATAAAACTTTATATATAAAAAATTAAATATAATATATATACATGATAAGTACATATAATAATTTATTTATAATATAAAAAAAATTTAATACTATATATAGTTAATAGTGTTTATATATAACTATATATATATATTTAAATATTTATAAAAAATTATATAAAAAAAAGTTAAATAAATATATTGTTATTTAAAT